ATAAACAAAATATGATGGAATGCAAACTATGTATGTGTGGACAGGAGTTAGCAGAAAAGGAAACAATTAAATCCTAGTCCCTGGGGAAGATTCCTAAGGAGCAGAGTTTTTAAGCAGGTTGCTTGGCTCATTGGTCTGTCCCTGGAAGGTGGCGGTTTCTGTAGCGTTTCCCCCAGCCATCACATGCTGCTGGAGTTCCCTTCCCCATCCCCCCACAGCAGTGCTGCCCCGACTCCTATCTGTCCAGGGATGCTGTCCTCTCCCTGCACGCCGGCACGCTCACGGGCTCACGGACCATCCCCCATCCCCCGACAGCAGCGCTGCCGCGACTCTCTATCTGTTCCAGAATGCTGTCCTCTCCCTGCACGCCGGCACGCTCACGGACTTGCTCCCGTATCCTGGGGCTGAGCCTTGGGACTGCAGCCCTGTTTGCTGCTGGGGCCAACATGGCACTCCTCTTTCCTAACTGGGATGTGACCTACCTGTTGAGGGGCCTCATTGGCAAGCACGCCATGCTGGGAACTGGGCTCTGGGGAGGAGGCCTCATGGTAAGTGTCTGGGGTTCCCTGAATGCGAACTCTCAAAGAGATCCCGGAGGGGGAGCAGGAAGGTGGCAACGGGAAGTGTTTTGATTCCTTGCAGGAAAGTTTATTCTAACAAGCTGGTCTTGGGTCTGCAGAAGCTTTAAGAGACAGGAAGACTAACTTGGGACCAGGCAGGTCAGGTGTGAAAGTTAACATCCACACATCCACAGCGTTAGATCAGGCTAGTCATCCAACTGTGGGTCCCCGGAGTCAGAGTCAAGAGGACAACTGAGTTCATGGGAGGTGCCCAGCCACTCTATTTCAACAGCTGTGGGCAGCACCTAGAAACAGCTGGCAAAGTAAATTTCCCCATCTCAACATTCTTCTCTCTCCTGCAGGTACTCACTGCCGCTATCCTCATCTCCTTGACGGGCTGGAGATACGGCTGCTTCAGTAAGAGTGGGCTCTGTCGAAGCGTAAGCACCAGATTTCACTCTTCTAACACCGAGAATGTCTCCACCTCTATTACTCTAGAGGCAGGATGGTAAAGAGGCAATTTTGGTCTTGGGGCCTGAAGTCAGGTCCTCACTGTGACCCTCAGTAATGCTAAGTTCTTTGGCAAGTTGCTTCATCTTTCCAGTTTCAGGCTTTCATCTGTAAAATGGGAGCTGAGCAAGTCAAGGGAGTAGTGCTTAGTGAAGCCCAGATGTCTGTACCAGTGGGAGGAACTGTTATTCTCTTAGCGTGCTGGACAATATGGACTGAGTTATGACACTGTAATCGTGTCATTGATGGAAATTTTCCTAGTTATTTTAACTAATATTTTCTTAGAACAGGAAACTTTTCCAGAGATCATCTAATCACTAGATTCTAATCTAACCCTTCCATTTTACAGATAAACTGAGGCCCAGAATAAATTTGTAACTTATTAATTATAGCAGCAACTGTATAAACTTGAAAGATCTCAGTATATGTGTGTAACACACACACACACACACACACACACACACTCGGTCTCAGACATAAATCTGTGGCCTTACGGTAACTCCACAGCCTGCTCTGATATCTGCAGCCCATGTGTTGGGAAGCCCACTGACTCAGTTACATGTTAAAAAATTAAATATAGGCTGTGCACGGTGGCTCACGCCTGTAATCCCAGCACTTTGGGAGGCCGACATGGGTAGATCACCTGAAGTCAGGAGTCCGAGACCAGCCTGGCCAACATGGTGAAACCCTGTCTCTACCAAAAATACAAAAATTAGCCAGGCGTAGTGGCAGGGGCCTGTAATCCCAGCTACTTGGGAGGCTGAGGCAGGAAAATCGCTTGAACCCGAGAGGCGGAGGTTGCAGTGAGCCGAGATGGCGCCACTGCACTCCAGCCTGGGCGACAGAGCTAGACTCCGTCTCTAAATAAATAAACACTTGCACATTTCTTTCACTGTCCTCATTCATGCACTGTCTGTTCTCAGTCCCGTCTGGTTTTCCCTGAGGCACGTAGTTCTGACACTGAATGTGCATCAGAACCACCTGGAGGGCTTTTGCCAGAACACGGATTGCTGGGCTCTTCCCCAGAGCTTCTGATGCAGGAGTCAGGGGGAGCAGGAAGTTTTGCATTTCTAACAAGTTCTCAGGTGATGTAATGCAGCTGGACAGGGACCCCATTTTGGGAACCACTGCCCTAGGTTTACTAGTTCATCTTGAATCTTTTAACTCAGAGTCAAAACTTACTATACACCTTTCTCCAGTCCCTCCCCAACTCCAAACCAGCTTGACATCAATGGGAAGATGACTCCATGACTCTCAAGAAAAACGCTATGTAGGTGTTATTCAGATTTTTAAAATACACATTTTTGGAGGAGGGAGAAAAATATCTAGAACCCTGAGAAAGAATTCAATATGGGCCGGGCACAGTGGCTCACACCTGTAATCCCAGCAGTTTGGGAGGCTGAAGCAGGCGGATCACAAGGTCCGAGACCAGCCTGACCAACACGGTGAAACCCCGTCTCTACTAAAAATACAAAAATTAGCTGGGTGTGGTGGCGCACACTTGTAGTCCCAGTTACTCGGGAGGCTGAGGCAGGAGAATTGCTTGAACCCAGAGGCAGCGGTTGTTGTGAGCTGAGATCGCGCCACGGCCCTCCAGCATGGGCAACAAGAGTGAAGCTCCATCTCAAAAAAGGAGGGAGGGAGGAAGGCAGGCAATATAGAAGCAGGCTAGAAACCTGTCAAGGAAGGAAACCCAGTTATTTTCTGGGAGGGCAGTGAGGGCACACACTGATCGCCACGGGAGCTCTTGGCTGGAGAAATGCAGCAACAGAAGTGGAGTCATTTCAGAGTCTGACTGCAGCTCCTCTCTCGCTGTTTCTCTCCCTTCTTTCCCTCCCTCCCACTTCTCTCCTTCCCTTCTTTCCTCCTTCTTTCCCTCCTTCCTTCCCTGCCTTCCTTCTTTTTATCCTTGATTTGAAAAAGAGAAAAATCAGAGTTGGGAGCCTGGAACTTTTGAAAATGCACCTTTTCCTCAGAAGAGTCAGAGGCGGGCCTGTGATAACCTGCCTCTTTAGCTCAGAGGCTGAATGGCTGTAATCCGCAAAAGGTTTGTGATGCCAAGCTGCCGAGCAGCTCAGGCGAACTTGCTGAGTCAGGGAGATCCGGGGCCAAGAGCCTGCGATTCTCCTTCTTGGTCCTTTCTCTCCCAGCCCTTCCTGGCTCTACCTGGAAACCGCTCACTGGCCTCCCCACTTTGGGTGATGCTTCTATCTTGTGTGCCATGGACAGAATTCTCCCCCGTGACAGGACAGAAGAACGCCTGAGACCAGAGACGTTAGACCTGTGCCGACCGCCCCACGGGCTCCCCAGCCGCGACCCCGTCTCAGCTCGCCGTTTCTCCTTCCCTCCGCAGGTGCTTACTGCTCTGTTGTCAAGTGGCCTGGCTTTACTTGGAGCCCTGATTTGCTTTGTCACTTCTGGAGCTGCTCTGAAAGATGGTCCTTTTTGCATGTTTGACATTTCATCCTTCAATCAGACACAAGCTTGGAAATATGGTTACCCATTCAAAGACCTGCATAGTAGGTAAATGGGTGGAGGCTCGGGCTTGGTCTTTTCAGAGAGAGAGAGAGAGAGAGACAAAAAGACACACAGATGAACTACAAGCTCCTTTGGGTCACACATCCTAGCATCTTGCTCCTCTGATGCTCAGAAAATTGCAAAGGCAGCAGGAATGGTCACCCTCAGGAGCCCAGTCCCATGACCCAGTCAGGAGAGGCTCCCGTTTTCTACTGGGGTTGCCTGTTTGGCTTTCCTTAATTATTGCCCGACCCCTGGTCTCCTGATTTTTTGGGATAGGAATTATCTGTATGACCGTTTGCTCTGGAAGTCCGTCTGCCTGGAGCCCTCTACAGCTGTTGTCTGGCATGTGTCCCTCTTCTCTGCCCTTCTGTGCATCAGCCTGCTCCAGCTTCTCCTGGTGGTCGCTCACGTCATCAACAGCCTCCTGGGCCTTTTCTGCAGCCTCTGTGAGAAGTGACAGGCAGAACCTTCTCGTTCAAGCAGGGGTGTTTTCATCATTGGTTGCCTGAATCCTTTCTACAAGGAGTGGGTACAAATTATAAACCAACTTTCTGTTTGGGTATCTCTGGAGAAATAATGACAACAAAATTCACTGCATGTCGGTTGAATGACAGAATGCATTTTAAATCACATTGTAATCTTCCAGGTGATCCATGGATAGGACAAATAACTAAGTCTTTATAATTGTGTAGGAATATGTAGTTCATAAAATACCCTCCAGCCAGGATCTCGTTTCAGCTTCTTGACAGTCCCATACAATTGGCCGCTTGTTACACGTCGAGAAGCTGAGGCTCACAGAGGGCGGCAAGCTTGCTACACAAAAGCACAGTGAAATTCAGGTGAAGTCAGCACCCGACCCCCATCTCCCTGTTTTTCTGTTGTTGTTGAGACAGGGTCTTGCTCTGTTCCCCTGGCTGGAGTACAGTGGCACAACCATAGCTTACTGTAACCTAGAACCCATGCATTCAAGCGATCCTCTTGCCTCAGCCTCTGACTAGCTGGGACTACAGGCACACACCACTCTATCTGGCTGATTTTAATTTTTGTACAGATGGAGTCTTGCTACATTGCCCCGTCTGGTCTTGAACTCCTGACCTCAAGTGATCCTCCCACCTTGGTCTCCCAAAGTGCTGGATGACAGGCGTGAGTCACTGTGCCAGGCCCCAACCCCCATCTTCTAAATTCAAGTTCTTCAGTTATTATGGACTAAATAGTGTTTCCTCCAAATCCGTAGGTTGAAGCCCCAACCCCCATTGTGACAGTCTTTGGTGACGGCACTTTTTTTTTCTTTTTTTTGAGACAGTCTTGTTCTGTCACCCAGGCTGGAGTGCAGTGGCAAGATCTCGGCTCACTGCAACCTCCACCTCCCAGGTTCAAGCGATTCTCCTGCCTCAGCCTCCTGAGTAGCTGGGATCACAGGCGCGTGCCACCACACCCGCTAATTTTTCTATTTTTAGTAGAGACAGGGTTTCACCATGTTGGCCAGGCTGGTCTCGAACCCCTGACTGCAAGTGATCCACCCACCTCGGCCTCCAAAAGTGCTGGGATTACAGGTGTGAGCCACTGCGCCCGGCCATGATGGCACCTTTAAATTAGTAATTAAGGTGAAATAAGACTGGGCGCAGTGGCTCACACCTGTCATTTGAGCATTGTGGGAGGCCGATGTGGGAAGATCACTCGTGACCAGGGGTTTGAGGCTAATCTGGGCAACACAGTGAGACCTCGTCTCCAAAAAAAAAACAACAGATGATTAAATGAGGCCATAAGGGTGGGACCCTAATTAAAGAGGACTGGTGTGCTTATAAAAAGAGGAAGAGAGAACAGAGCTTTCTACACTGGCTCAAAGAAAAAGGCCCTGTGAGGACCCAGTGAGAAGGCGGCTGCCTGCAAGCGCAGGGGCGAGGCCTCAGGAGACACCAAACCTGCTGGCACCTGGTTCTTGGACTTCTAGCCTCCAGCACTGAGAAAATAAATTTCTGTTGCTTAAGTGGCCCAGTTGGTAGTATTCTGTAACAGCAGCCTGGCAGACGAAGACACCAGCGTTCTCTTCACTGGTGTTCCAGAGTTCAACAACTAGACCCTGAGGAGCATCACCTCTGTCCACACAGTTTGGACGTCTGTCCCCACCCAAATCTCATGTTGAATCTCATGTTGAATTGTGACCCCCAGTGCTAGAGGTGGGGCCTGGCGGAAGGTGTGTGGATCATGAGGTGGCTCCCTCACGACTTGGAGCTGTCTTTGCAATAGTGGGTTCCCGCGAGGTCTGGTCATTTAGAAGCGTGTGGCACCTCTGGCCTCTCTCTCGCCTGCTCCTGCTCTCACCATGGGACTCACCTGCTCCCTCTTCACCTGCTGCCATGAGTAAAAGCTCTCTGAGGCCTCCTCAGAAGCTGAGTGATGTGGGTGGTATGCTTCTCGTAACGCCTGAGAACTGTGAGCCAATTAAATCTCTTTTTTTTTTTGGAATGGAGTCTCGCTCTGTCGCCCAGGCTGGAGTGCAATGGCACCATCTCGGCTCACTGCAACCTCTGCCTCCCGGGTTCAAGCAATTCTCCTGCCTCAGTCTCTTGAGTAGCTGGGATTACAGGCACCCGCCACCATGCCTGGCTTTTTTTTTTTAAGTAGAGACGGCATTTTGCCATGTTGGCCAGGCTGGTCTTGAACTCCTGGCCTCAAGCAATCCACTCGCCTTGACCTCCCGAAGTGCTGGGATTACAGGTGTGAGCCACCATGCCCGGCCATCTCTTTTCTTAATAAATCACCCCGTCTCAGGTATTTCTTTAGAGCAGTGCAAGAACTGCCTAACACACTGTCTCTACAAAAAACTAAAAAATTCGCCAACGGTGGTGGTACGTGACATCGTCTCAGCTACCTGGGATGCTGAGGTGGGAGGATAGCTTGAGCCTGGGAGGTTGGGGCTCCAGTGAGCTGTGATCACACCACTGCACTCCAGCCTGGGCGACAAGAGACCCTGCCAAAAAAACAACCCCTGCAAAACCCAAATAGTATATAATGAGTACCCACTCTGTGCCTGGCACTGCCATACATACTGCGGATCCAAAGGTGACCAAGACATGGTCCTTGCCCTTGGATGCGACCCTGCTCTTGAAGAGCTCTTGTTTAGGTCGGAAACAAACACATCTACCAGTGATTCGAGCATCATATGCAAAGGGCCATGCTACAGCTCACGCAGGTGCAATGAGAGCTCGGTGGAACAACAAACCTCCTGGGAGAGCACCTGGGAGAACTCAAGGAAGGCCTCGCTTGCACCGGAGCTCTTTTTGAGATGGAGTCTCACTCTGTCGCCAGGCTGGAGTGGAGTGCAGTGGTGCGATCTCGGCTCACTGCAACCTCCGCCTCCCAGGTTCAAGCAATTCTCCTGCCTCAGTCTCCTGAGTAGCTGGGATTACAGGCACGCACGCCACCATGCCCGGCTAATTTTTTTTTGTATTTTTAGTAGAGATGGGGTTTCACCATATTGGCCAGGCTGGTCTCAAACTCCTGACCTTATGATCTGCCTGCATCAGCCTCCCCAAGTGTTGGGATTACAGGCGTGAGCCACCGCGCCCGGCCTGAGCTGAGTCTTCAGAGAGCTGGCCCAGCGAACAGGGGATGGAGGTATCCACAGGCTGGTGTGGTGAACTGTAATGCCACAGCTCCTTTTTTTTTTTTTGAGACGGAGCCTCACTCTGTCACCCAGGCTGGAGTGCAGTGGCAGGATCTCAGTTCCCTGCAACTGCCGCCTCCTGGGTTCAATTGATTATCCTGCCTCAGCCTCCCTAGTAGCTGGGACTACAGGTGCACGCCACCACGCCTGGCTAATTTTTTTTTTTTTTTGATTTTTAATAGAAGTGGGGTTTCACCATGTTGGCCAGGCTGGTCTCAAACTCCTGACCTCAGGTGATCTGCCCGCTTCGTCCTCCCAAAGTGCTGGGACTACAGGTGTAAGCCCGACCTCACAGCTGCTTCCCACAGGGCACCTAGACGCAGAGGCCTCCTGCTCTCCTGCTGCGGGGTTTTCAGTCAGGTTAGGCTGGGTGGTGAGAAGAGTCAGAGCGGAATGAAGGACATGCTGGTGGGAGAGTGTGGTATGATGGGCAGGAAGAGGACAAGGCAGGCAGAAGCAGCCTGGGAAGAACCTGGAAGATGGGCACTGGCAAGAAAAGTGGTGGGCAGGCCCCAGAAACGAGTTAGAGAACCCCAGGCTCTGGCCAGGTCCGTGGCTCACACCTGTAATCCCAGCACTTTGGGAGGCCAAAGTGGGTGGATCACCTGAGGTCAGGAGTTGGAGAGCAGCCTGGCCAATATGGTGAAACCCCGTCTCTACTAAAAATACAAAAAAATTAGCTGGGCGAGGTGGCGGGCGCCTGTAATCCCAGCTGCTC